AAAGGGGCCAATATTTAAATCCGTTGTAACAAGAAATCCGCTGTGGCGAGGTCCGCTGTGACGAGGTTTGACTGTATCGTCAAAAAAAAAAATTCATAAATTGAAAATTAAAAAGGACAATGTATATCGTTTTTTAATATAACTTCCAATTTCCATTTCCCATCGGAGCTTGTTGCTGGATGATCAATACTTTGAACATCTAAGTTATAAAATTCATCATCTTCAATGTTTATAAGCTCATTTAGAGATTCATTTTCTTCTTCTTGAAGAATTTCTATCCACTCACCCAAATTATTATTAAACTGTGCAATTACATCTGCTTCTAAACTATTATTATCCTGTTCATCATTTTGTTCACCCAAATAACTTTCTTCATTTAAGTTAGTATTTACATTTGAAGATTCGGCTTCCAATATCATTTCTCTTTCAATGCTATTCTGTTCTTCTAAATTTATTTCTTTATTTGATAAAGAAAGTTCTTGTTGAAGAAGTCGATTATATGTAATGCCAGCCTTCAATTTTGCCATTTCTAAGACTCTAGTGAACTACATATAGTAAAAGAAATAGTCAAATTTTAAAAAGAAAATAATTTACTATATTAATGTAAATAAAACTATATTTTTACCTCCAATCTATTTTGATTTTTTGAATGAAAAAATCCCATACTACTCCACAGTCGTTCTACTGAAGCTGCATTAATACAAATACCAAAAATACGTGCTGCAACAATTCCAATTTCTGGATAGGCATCCTGAACCCAGCACCAATATTTGTGAATATTATTTTCAAACTGATCAATGGAGGCATTATCAAAAGGATATTTTCTTCCTTGTGAAAAATCATAAAATTCATTAAGAATAGTTTTAGGTTCTTTTCCAGTCCATGCTTTATAATAATAAACAAGCCACTTCCCCATGTGTAAATAACTTATTTTTGATATAGAAGCAGAAGTGAAATAGTTTGATTTGTAAACAGGATGAAGAAGCCAAGAAAGAATGAGAAGAGGTTGTTCCCATAAACTCCATCTATTTTCCAATCTTGATAATATTCTACTGGCCAAGAGTTCATCAGAATAACTTTTCCAAAATTGATACAAATATGCATAACAATGTAAAACTTCATATAATCTTGCCTTGTCACTTTGTAGTTTATTCAAAATATTGCAATAAGGAATCAAAATTTGATCCAATTTTAAAAGTTCGTCCCAAAAAGATTCATTCATTATAATACAATACATTTCATGTGAAATTTTCAATGTATTCGTTGATGAAGAAGGATCAAATTTTATTGCCAAAGACTATGTAAAAAATAATTGTCAATTATTTTATTTGAATCAAAACTACTATTTTGAAAGATTGTAAAAATAAATAGAATAACTTACACGTAAAGCATTTTTAGTAGCAATTAAACTTTTAAAGCAATTATGTTGACTGTTCCACCTGGTATTACATGGAAGTGCAAGTTGAATATATTTGCTATAAAGTTCTTTTTGAATATCACGAAGTTGGCCAATGAAATATTTATGTCTAGCATCTTTAAAATAGGCTGACACTTTTAAGGCATTGCCTGATGTATTTTTGAACTCAGATGAAATTTTAAAAATTTCCCCTACACACAAATTCACCTGATGGGCAAAACATGGTAAAAAAACAATATTTCTATGTTTAAGTCGTAATCTTGCCCTAATAATTAAAGATTTATATTATAAATCAATAAAATATTCAATGATAGTTTGAGGCAATGAGAAAAAATTAATATGCACTTGCCTTGATGCATTATAGGAAGGTGCACTATCAGTTACTATTGATAACAATGTTATTTTCATATCTATTAATTTGGAAATTAATTCTTCAGTTTTAGTCATAACTTCAAACATTGTATCACGTTCACTACTGATATCCATAGCTTGCCATACACATGGTTCTCCATCTGACATCAAAAGAACACATCCCATTAATTCTTGTTGCCTAACATTCGTCCATCCATCAAACATAAGTGTGACACCTATTTGATCTAATCTTAATTTTTCTAACATGACATTATCATATTCTTTAACTGCATCATTCAATAGTTTAGTGGAAAGGGTTTTTCTATCTGGTAGTTTGATATGTGGGTTGAGAAATTTAAATAATTCTGTTGTTTCTTGATTATTCACCCAAGATAATGGAAAACCACAAGAAATAGTGGCTTTTAATATAAGTTTATGAAAAACTTCATTATCTGCTTTAGATAAAGGTCTGGCAACAAAATTATCTAAAGGACCATAATTAGATGATTGAGACGAAGTAGAATTTGATCCTAATAGAAAAGAAATTAATTCATGTAATAATAAATAAATTGTTAATTAATAAATTATTAATTAATTTAATAAATATTTACTCTCTCATCTGACATTATGTAAATTTTATTATATCAAAAGGAACTGACAGCATGTATAACATTCCTAGATGAAAATATTAACCTTTTGCATAATTCTGATAAAGAACACAAAAAACTTATGGATTTGAAAGAGGAAGTTGAGAAAAGACGTCAATATGTTTGCGATATACAAAACAAGCAACAGGTACAATTATTTTTGATTTTTTGATTATTTATTGACTGATTAATTATTGGATTTAATTAAATTTTCTGATTAATTAATTAAATTAGAGGATGATTCGTCAAAAGAATAATTTAGAGGAAAGAATTACAAGACAAGCTGAAAAACACAAAAGTAAAGTAGCAGAGAAGGAAGAGAAGGCAGCATATATGCAAAAAAAATATGAGTACATACAAGAAAGACGTAAGGAGATTGAGGGAAAATCATTGGAAGAAAAATCATTCTATGATGAGGCACAAAATAATGTAAGTCTACATACATATTTATACTCTTGTTAGAAGAAAGTCATTAATACTATATGATTATTTAATTAACAACTGTAATTAATTAAAAGATAAGAGGATTGGTTCAAGCTTGGGACAGAGAGAAAGCAGAAGTTGAATCAGCTTATAAAGGAATGATTGATCAAATTCATAATTTTGAACAAGAAGCTCTTCAAATATTACAAAGTATTTCAACACAATAAAAAAATTTTTTTAATGTTCAATTGCTCTTGCTCAATCAAACATTTGTCATGTTTTATTCGTTTATCTATTATGTTTATAGAATTTGGTAAAATACATTTATTAGTATACAATTTGAGCTGTGAAATACTTATCAAGATCAACTATTTGACACCACTAATAGGTATTTCATAGTAAAAGTCCAAAAATTGATCATTTCAGATCTATGAATTTAGAAGTTTGGCTAAACAATAATAGCAGCTATTAGGATATTATCCCTTCCCTCTCAGTCTCTTTCCTTTTTCTTCTTCTACATTAATATTATAAATTTTATAATGTTCGAAAATTTTAAACATTCCTTTGAACACTTTATTTAAAAGTCGATTCTAGAAATAGAATTATTCTTGGGCTTGAATATTTGATTATCTATATGGTGAAAGGCTGGGCATGGAATGCTGAAGGATGTGATCCAATGGAGATTCAGAATAGTGTCTGGCAAGTCAGGTTCAAGAATTTTACAGAATTCCATTACAGGTTTTGGAAATCTAATGGCTTTGCTCTAGCCTGTTGAAGCACTTTCTATATTAAAATTTTAATCGATTCCCTGATGGGTTTTGCAAACTAGTTTTTGACTACGTAAAGAAAATTTTCATAGGAATGATTAGGAATGATTAACTTTTGTTAAATGAATCTAGCATCTAAATGCAATTTATTTACTTTGTTTACCAACCCTCTGTAAAAAAGAAATACATGTCAAACAACAGCATCAACTGCTTATTTGTCTAATCAAAAAATCATCCAGAAAAAATGTCACAAGTTAAAGGTAAGTTGTGATTGCAAGCAATTGTGATCCTTGAATTATTAATATTTATTAATCTTGGCTTTTTCAATATTTTTTTATAGATATCAGGATTATCAAATTTAATTAATGTAAGACCATTAATCCAATTGTTAAAATAATTTGTCTGTTGGAATACTAAAATTCTACAATAACAACGACAAAAATAATAATGATGATGATAATGATAATGATGATGATAATGATAATGACCATGATAAGGATGATGAATTTAAATGGTTTCTTTGATATAATTTTAGGATGGAGTTATGATACTATTGTCTTAAGGATTTTGTTATATTCAAATGGTCATTGTCCGATTTTTAGAATATCGCATATCGCAAATTATT